GCAGAGGCTAATTTTCACCTTCCCTCACCACTCCAAATGAGTGAGGATAATTTGGCAGATCATTTTAGAAAATGGAAGAGACAGCTAAATGTTTATATGGAAGCCTCGGGGAACACCAGCAAGCCAGCTAAAACCCAGACAGCCATAATTCTGCACTGTGCAGGCCCAGAAGCCCTAGAAGTTTTTGATCAGTTTGAATTTGATAATTCTGAAGACAAGGATGACCCGCAACAAGTACTAGTTACTTAAATTGCAGCAGTATTGCAACCCAAGAAGTAACGAGGTTCTGCAAAGATATAGATTTTGGAACTTGCCTATATCAACGCCTTTCGACAAGTTTTCAACTGAATTGAAAGCTCAGGCTGAGAAATGCAACTTTCAAGAGAAAGACAAGATGATCAGAGACAAAATTATTTTCAGTGTTCCTCAACATCTCAAGGAAAAGTTGTTGAGAGAACCTGATATCACTTTAAAGAAGACAATCGACATTTGCCAGGCGTACGAGCAGACTGCAAACTACCTGAGAGAAATGAAAGGTGAACAGGAAATCGATAAGGTCTACAAGGGCAAGAAGCCATCATTTAAACCTAGTGGAGGACCATCAAGAAAGAAGGATGGAAGACCTACCACGAGTACGACCAGCAAAGATGCTGAATACAGATTCTGCGGGAAACGCCATGAGCTCAACAAAGCCAAATGCCCAGCCTGGGGGAAAACGTGTAGCAATTGTGGAGGAAGAAGCCACTTTAGGATAAAATGCAAGAAAATACACGCACTTGCTGAAACAGATGACGAAGCATGGCTAAATGCTGTCGGCGACGGAAAAAGAAGGGCTGCAGCATGTTTAAAAATTAACGACTGCAAGGTCAGATTCCAGCTAGATACGGCCGCAGACGTCAATACAATACAACAGAGATTTGTTAGAAAAAATCAAGTAACAAGATCCAGTCATACACTCATCATGTGGAACGGCACTAAGATGGCACCTTTAGGAGAAACAAGATTGTTAGCTAGTTACCAATGAGAAGACAGGACAGACACTCACAGTGAAATTTACAGTTGTCAAAAACAATCTAAACTGTCTACTTGGTCTAACAACATGTCAAGATTTGGGATTAGTCACCATCAATCATGACAAGTTCATCACAAAGGTAGAAGAGGAACCAGGTCATCTGGGAACAGCGAATCTGAAGACAGACCCGGAGATAAGACCACAAGTTCTGCCTTGCAGAAAGATACCATTTGCCCTAGAAAAAAAGGTCAAAGAAGAGTTGGCCTATCTCATACAAAGAGGAATCTTGGTACCCATGACAGAACCGACAGATTGGGTGAGTCAAATGGCCATTGTGGAGAAAGAAAATGGATCTCTACGCATATGCATTGATCCCCGTCCTTTGAATAAAGCTCTTATAAAGGGTTTCGAACTAATTGACCAATAAGATGTTGAAATGTTACGTTTAAGGAATGCACATAATGCATCTTGCTAAAGAAGGGGGGATGTTATGTGTACATTGTTCGTGTTTGGTACCATTTCCGATGAATGTTTTTGTAACCACCTGGTAACCACTGAGTTCAGCACGAGATTAAAGGACTGGTGAGCCAGTGGGCCATTCCCTACTCAGCCGGCAAACATGCAAGTCGAGTCTGTTCTTTGTGTGATTTGTGTGCATGTTGAACCAAACGGCATACACGCTTACAAACAATAATATCAAGGGAGGAGCGGGGAGATTCCGTTAAGACAGGTTTCCGTAAAGGCAGGTTCGACTGTACATACTCAACAATTCTGATGAATGCTATAAGGTCATACTAAGATGGTTTTGAAATGGAAGAATTTTGATGGATGGTAAAAATGACCTTTGTATCTTTCTTTGTTACAGATCAGAAGCCTAGGTCTAGGTCTTTTACTTCTGACTGATGTTTTTATTTGAGGGAACAAGGATGTTTGTTGTCTAAAAAGATGGAATTAATTTTTTTAGTGCAAGCTGTTATGTTACAATTCATCCTAGGAGGGGAATGTAGATGTTGAAATTTTACATATTATATGCTTTCCGTATTAGTCAATTTATTTTTTATCTTGTTGTCTTGGTTAAATACATGACCTTCCTTAGAAAAAATAGTCTTTTCACTTTTATGCAGGAGAGAAGTGTGGACACGCCAGTTGAATTTGTTGTATATTGAATTGTAACACCCAAATACTTATAATCTGACACTTGCTCTATGTTTTCACATTTAATTTCGAGTGGCTGCAGGGGAAGTTTCTTTTTTCTAAAGTCAAAAACAAGTTCTTTCATTTTTTCACATTTAAAAGCTTATGATTTTCACACCATTCAGAAAAGTTTTAAAGTACCGGTACAAAATTCCTGTAACGGTTTCGTTCTCAATTATCGTTGAATCATCCGCAAATTTTATGAACTTGATGTTACTGTTGTTTATTTGGCAATTGTTTGTGTACAGTGTGAATAGAACTGGTGACAAAACACATCCTTGAGGGGCTCCTGTATTTGTTGTGATGTATGTCGATGAGGAATGTTTTAATTTTACCTGGGTTCGGTTGGTAAGAAAATTGCCTATCCTTGATATTAAATTGATTGCAAAACGCCTGTTTTCTAAATTGTTTAGAAGGATAACTGGCTGGATAGTATTAAAGGCTGACGAAAAACCAATAAACAGGATCCTACAGTATGTTTTTGGCTTGTCTAAGTGTCTATATGTTGTCAAGAAATAGCAGAATGGCGTCTTCCACACTTCTCCCGTGATGATATGTTAATTGTTGAGGGTCTGGGCCACACGCCTTTCTCACATTCACACGTCCAAACACATGTCTAACCTCACGTTCTTCAACGACATTATTTTCATTTGTGTCTGTGTTCACACAAGGCAAGTCTCACGAACTGCATTGGTCAAATCGGGAGAATAAAGCATTAAAAGTTTATTTGCATAGCTCTCTTCGTTGTCAACACATACGTTTGTTGGTTTATTTTTGTAGCCCACTATGGTATTAAGCCCAGACCATGTCTCACAAGAGAGTTATTTGACCGAAACGATATTCCAGTTACTTTTTATATTTTTGTTTTTCAACCCAGATGTATAGCTTTGTCTGTGACTTTTAGTTCTGTTTTGTCATGGTTTTTTAAATCCTTTTTTTTAATGAATTAGGTCTTTGATTCCAGAATTTATCCAGAGTCTAGAGTTAGGGAAGATGGTAACTTGTTTTTTAAGGGCCACTATATCAACACAAAATTTAAAATAGTCTGTGACTGTTGTTGTACATAGATCATTGATATCACAATGTGCATTGATAAAGACATTCCAGTTGGTACAGTCAAAACATCCTCTCACTTTGTCTTCGCTTTCTTCAGTCCAGGTGGTGACTGTTCGAACTTCTGGCTTAGTTCGTCTCAACACAGGGCGGTACAGAGCAAAGTGAACACACCCGGTCGCCACTGAGTAGTGCCCATAACCCATGAGAGTAAGTAGAGACACATCACTCCTTGATTCAGGCGAGATTGGGGTCAGGGGTCCGGTGAAAGTTACATGCACATATATAGTCTGTTTCTCTTAGCCGATGAATCACCGTATTGTTTTCATTATAATAAATTAAGTAAGGGGATTTGTCTGAATGGGTTTTAAACACCATTTCTCTTTCTTTACTGTCACGTCATACCCACATCCACACATGAAAGTATTGAAAGATGGAGTCAGAACATTCTAGTCAAGATTTTGATTGAAAATTCAAAACCGTAGGCAGTACTTCAGTGTGGTGTAGTGCTATTAATTGTACAAATTTCAAAATTAAAAGCCGTGATTTGACCTTCTTTTCCTTCCCTCTGGATCCAGAAAAGTGAATTAATTTGATTGGCGTTGCATGGTTTAATTAGAAATCACTTGCCATTGTGATTGTCACCACATGGTTCGAGCTAGTTCTTAAGTATTCGGTCATTATAATTTTACATAACATGCTCTCGCTGTTTTTAACAACAATGATTATAAAACAATAGACAAATGAAGGTTGTGGCTTTATATTGGTCATCGCTACGATGATGTTGTATAATTAGGAGCATCAAGCTCATAATGAGGTAATGGTGAAGATGGGGATGGTGGCAGTGATATTGGTAGTGCCTCTCCCTGAAAATGGCATTATAGTAAACTAAGTAAGGGGATTAGTCTGAATGGGTTGAAATCGCCATTTCTCTTTCAGTAATGTCACGTCATACCCACATCCACTCGTGAAAGATTGAGTCAGAACATTCTAGTCAAGATTTTGATGAAAAGTTCAAAACGTACCGTACTGTATGTTTCCTTTCAGCCAGTATAATTATTGGCCTGTCTTGGTCACGTCCCCATTCCTTATTCCTGGCCCACATCTCATTGCATTAGTGTGCACAATAGGCCAAATCTTTTCTATTCTTCTACTTTTACTCTTATTTCTTCTTCATTTTCTTATTGTTCTTGTTTTTGTTCTTGTTCCTCTTCATTTTGTTCTTATTTTTCTTGTTCTTGTTCTTCCTCTTGTTCTCTTCTTCTTTTTCTTTTTCTTCCCCTCTTCTTCTTCTTCTCCTCCTCCTCCTCCTCCTCCTCCTCCTCCCTCCTCCTTCTTCTTCCTTCCCTGGAGCATAAATTTGATGAATTAATTATGCGCCCTTTTATTGATCAACCTCACCACATACCACTACTTCCAACATATTAACTGAGATGACTCCTCGCTCCTCCCTCTTTTCCCGGTATTAACGATAAGAAATAATAAGGGGAAGTGACTTCGAGAGAAACAGACCATGAAATGTATGACGTGAAAGTTTCAAAGCACTAGGTCACCGATCTCGCGCGAATAACATGGTGCGAATAGGGGCCAGCTGACAAGTGAAATATATCTCACTCGTCATCTCCAGCCTGGTCCAGGTGAGGAAAACCCCCTGGTAGGGAAAGAGTTTTAATATAAATCAAGTAAGGTTTTTAGTCTTTCAACTACTACTGACCTAACAGATGACTTTAAATGTTAATACCCTTTTGATTGCATGAGACTGGAATCTGCAGCGCCCCCTTGTGGAAGAAGTTGCTCTCAGGTGTTGATTGACTTCAGAGTCCAGTCTCTCGAGTGTGCAGCAAAATCTGGTGGCTTTCAATTTCATTCTCTTCTCAGTTCAGGCCTAGGCCTGGGGACTTTCTCTGTTGGCTTTCAGTTTCATTTTCATCTCAGTTTAGGCCTGTGGACTTTGAATTTTTGCTCAGGTATCAGAACTACTTAATTTTCAAGAACGAGTCATGAAAACAAAAGTGTAAAAGTTTAATTCAGTTTAAGATGAGTGGAACTTTCAGAAAGAAAAAAAATTGCACACTACTTACTTTTTTCCCCAGACTTTTAGCTCGACATTGATAGTTTCCATTCATTCTAAGAATCATAGTAACTTAACAATTTATCCCAAAGATAGGCACTGATTAAGAGATATAAATTACAGGTTTGATGAAAATTGATGTATTTTTTCTTTTTGGTCGGGCCATGTAACAAAATTTATTTCTGTTTTATCATTTACTATTTGTATATTAGAAGGATATTGTTTCATATTAAAATTATCAAGTTTTTTGACAGACTTTTTTCCATCTTTGCAGTTCCAACATGGCGTCAAGTACAACTGTTGCAAGGAAATCCAGTCACAAGAAACATGGTCTGTCGAAAAAGAAATCTGGAAAGACGATGAAAAGTGGAAAGCTTAATTATAACTTTTCTGATGAATCGGATGAAGAGATAAAAGCTTTTCCAAAAGAGCAGGTAAAAGTGTTTAAAAAAAGTAAAACTCCTGAGGATAAAACTCCAGTTTTCAAAAAAGCACTGTTGAACTCAGAAGAATCTGTTTTGGCAAGTGATAGTCTCCGCAGAAAATCTGAACTCCCAACAGTGTGTGAAGACTTTGGATTGCCTGTTACAGAGTCTACTCGTATTAGTACTTCACCTACTAATTCCAGAAGATCTGATTGTATTCCTGTGCTTGAAGAACAAGAGAATGAAGTACCCAATGACTGTCGACAAAGTAAGAATCAGAAGTTTATAAAGAGTCCTGGAAATAATTGTCAAAAGAAACCATTTCAGAATGGTGTGCTGCAAGATTTAGCGAGTGACAATCTGCGTAGGACATCTGAACTCCCATCAGTGTGTGAGGACTTTGGCCTGCCAATCACAGAATCGACACGTATTAGTATTTCGCCTACCTACTCAAGGGTAGCTGGCCGTGTAGATCAGAATAAGGAACAACAGAACAAAGTATCCACCAATAAATGTCAAAATAGTAGGAAACAGAATGTTGAAAAGAGTCGTGTAAGTAATGGTCCAGAAAAGCTATTTCAGGATGAAATTTTGCAAGCAGTGAAGCAAGAATATTTTGAACTGGTTCATTCTCTACCCGGAACTAATGTTTATAATTCATTTGTTGAACCTGATGATACCAACAGCTCAAGTTTACCAATATCAGCTTGCCATGGTCAACAAAGTCTAGAGTGGGACCATCTTCCAGATACAACGATGAATCAGAGCAAATTTGGTAGTAAAAAGTGTCTGTTGGGAGGTATTCGTGAAAGAACAGTTCCGAAGAATGATGACTCAAAATTAAGAAAGAAGCACCGTGTAAGCAGCATAAATCCATTGATGCATGGTGGTTCCACCCTGATGAACATAAAGTTGGAAGATGTGAAGGATGAGAGTGTGCATAGTTTTCTGGGAAAAGAAACTCAAGGTTTGTCAAGGGACAGTTATGTTGAAGTTCAGGATGTGTCTGCTCAGGTGAATCTTAGTAGTGTACTTGAAAACACTAGTAGTGAAGCCGAGGTTGAATCTTGTGGTAATGAGATAAGCTGTTCAGATGGAAGATTGTCTCAACCTGCAGACTCTTTTGTAGAAGTACAAGATGTTTCAGTTGAAGCAAATTTTACGTTTGGTGGTAGTAATGAAGTTGGCCGAGAGGGGTTGGAAAGACCAGCAGAGGAGAATGAGTCTACAGATATTACGGGCAGTGTCTCAACAGAATTGTCCAAGTCTTTAGTTTCTGATATTCAAAGCTGTGAATTATCAGTGGAGCATGGGCCTCTATCTCCAAACAATAAACATCACAAGTCTCACCCTATCAATGAAAACTCAGGATCCATGAAACAGTTTCATGAACAGTTTCATGAACATCATTCTTTGCCTGATAGTGTTGATGGTAGGATAGATTCACCTAGCGTGGAAGTTCCAAGCTCAAGTTGTCACAATGGTGATAATAAATCTTCCCAAAAATTGAACAACAACAAGGAAGAAAATGGTAATGTTGATCTCCAAGTTAGAGAGCGAGATACTGTGTACACTTTAGAATCTGGGCTGCCTGGGTCGGCTGGGAAAGCGAAGGAACACACTGGAGCAGATGTTCCCTCTGACACCTCTGATTACTATTCCTGTCATACGACCAACTCCAATCAAAGTGATTTTGACACTAAGAGTTCTCTCAACTCTGACAAAACCTCTCTGCGTGAAGCTAGTAGCTGCAGGACTACATACTCTGGAGTACAAGACGTCTTTTCTCCATCTTCCACACATGTGAAGAATCAGGAATGGTCAAGACAGGATGACCAAGCATCTCCTGTAAAAGAGTCTGATAATATGAGCGAAAAGAGTGTTACTTTGAGCCCTTGTTCAGATGACGGTAGGAGTGAGCAAGGCAACACCCTGTATACAACAGCCAGAGATAATATTTTTGTCTCTTCTGAAACATTTCAACCAAAGGGTGACAGTAGCAGATGGAGAATTTGTGAAAGTCTTAATAGTGATGCTAGTGGAGATGAATCTTCAATGAAGGAAAACGGCTCAGAAATAATCGTTCCTGCCACTGACAGTGAAGATGATGATTATTATAGTGATGAGCAAAGTATAAAAGTTATAGCGTCAAGCTTTGTGGAGGACAACGATGGGGATCTTGCTCTTGGTGAAATAGAGTCTGAAGGTGAACTTAGAAAAGAAAACAGCCTGTGTGGTCTTGTCACATATAATGACAGCAGCCCACAAGAGAGGAAAACATCTGTTTTAACTAATAAAGGGGATGGAGGAGAAATGGACCTTGGAGATGGTGACAGTTTGAAGGAGTCCACCTCGAACCTGAAAGAAAGGCTTGACTCGACATCAGTGAGGTTAGTGTCTTTTTTAGTGGTATTATTAGAATTGATATTTTACAAATGATTGTCTCTTTGGCAAATTGTCAGTGCATTTTATCAATCTATTCTGGATACAGAATAATATTTTGAAAAAAAAAATCAAATTTTCAAGATGCTTTTCTGGTTGCTGAGTAATCTGTTGGAAGAGATAGAATTAACATTTATCACTATCGGTTTATTTTGTTTTGTCATAAAATCTTGCATATGATTATGAATAAGATAATGTGTCAGTCTTCAAAACTGATTTTTATCAGTTGAATGGTTTGATGCCATGTTGCTTAATGGCTTTTGATTAAACTATAATCTTAAACTGGAAAATAACTCTGAGAATGTTAATGATATTTTTAAAAGATTTGTAATTTTAATGTCTCTGGACTTGTAGCTTGCTATTATAAAGGGCTCTTCTCTTTACACCCAAGAACTTGCATTGTGTGCTCACAACACTGGTGCGATTGTTGTGCTTATTTTTGTACTCCTCTCAAGTTTTTCTTCTGTCGTAACTTTTTAATCAGCAAATGTAAGCCCATGGCATGTGCTACCCCAAGACTTGTCATCCTTACATGGCCACACCTTTTGTACTTTGTAATAAGGTTTCTGATATGAACTATGTACTCCAGAATAATAGACCACCCGCAAGGCACCCTGAAATCAGATTTGGTTCAAACTGGTGGTACATGTAGCATAGTGATGAACCTGTATTGAATTGTTTAGAAAAAGGTACATAATTCTTGAATCATTTTTCTTAGCTTTCACTAAAGTTAATTAGTTAGTTACTAACTTAGTCTCTCCCTATACCATCACATACATAAGGCAGAGATGAATTTGTAGATGCTATGTTTGTCTGTCCCTGGCCTGCCTCTCTCTCTCTCTCTCTCTCTCTCTCTCTCTCTCTCTCTCTCTCTCTCTCTCTCTCTCTCTCTCTCTCTCTCTCTCTCTCTCTCGCTCTCTCTCTCTCTCTCTCTCTCTCTCTCTCTCTCTCTCTCTCTCTCTCTCTCTCTCTCCCTCCCTCCCTCCCTCCCTCCCTCCCTCTCTCCCTCTCTCCCTCTCTCCCTCTCTCTCTCTCTCTCTCTCTCACTCCCTCCCTCCCTCCCTCTCTCCCTCTCTCTCTCTCTCTCTCATAGCTCTAAACCAGATATATTGCTTTGTTAAATCTGTTCTTATTCCATAAGTCCATTGTCATCAATTGCTTGTTTCTTTTCTTTTATAGTGAGGAAGTTGATGGTTCTGAGCATGATGATGAAGACAGTAGAGTTGGTGATAGTAAGTACCATATATTATAATAGTAAAAAATACAGTGCATCCTCTCTATAACGACCTTCGATATAATGACATTCTTTATATAGCGACATGGTGCCTGGGTCCTGATTTTGTCATTATATATTATTAGTAATATTTTTGGTTACCTCTCTATTACGACAATTCAACTCTCTATCATGACATTTTTTTCTGGGCTTGACGATGTCGTTATAGAGAGGCTGCACTGTAGAATGCTTGGCGTTAGAGAACTCTGCCAGAATTCTGGGTATGAATAACCCTATCCGTACGCCCTGGGGTCATTTTGTACCCCTGGGGTTTTCTTCTTCACATTTTAGAATACTTCTAGTACGAAGATCTCTGAAACTTTCAGTATTTCTCAATAAATTATTTTGACAGACTACTATGCAAAGTGTACGGATTGGATTAATGAGTAAATTTCCTCTTTGAAAGTGGTGACACAGAGTTCCCCATGTCGTATGGATACGATAGTAAAACATGATGTACGAATAGAAATAATGTTGTTAGTCCAGTGGTCTGTGAACTCTGGCTTATAAATTTAGTCAACAAACATTCAGACAATATTAGTGATTCTGCTTCTAGAAGGATGGTCATAGTTCAAGACACAATACTCAACTAAAAATAGGGCTATGCACTTTGAGGACTATCAATGGTGTGTGCGTTTGTGAAATTGTAGATGCACAAAGTTGTGTAGTGTTTGTGATGTGTTGTATTTTGTAAACATGTCAAGATTACTTCAAATTTCCCCACTGGGATATGATATAAACCAAGTGGTATTTTTGTTTTTTTGTATATTTTCTGTGACGTTTAGCCTATCTTTGACTAAAGTAGTGTGTCATGAGTATTTTTCTATCTGCTGATATGTTCATGTCTCAACATCTGTGCTTACTAGTATATGTTGTCTGTCCTGGTGCTGCCATCTCTTGTTTAGCCTTGTTTACTTCCCAAGCGAAAGTGAAAGTCAGTGGGTTTTTAAAATTTTGTTCATTAGGCTTAAAAAGAAAGATTTATTACATTGTAAATGTATCATTTGCACTCTATATATTTCTGTGAGGAAACATTTTATACATTTATTTTGCTTGATTTGGAGGGAAAATTTACTCTTTAGAAATTGCGATCTGATGATAACCTTTGATTGAAAGATTGAGTGAAAAGAGAGGAGTCAAAGGAGTTTGGGTGCCAAACAGCACAAGAATCTGGATATGGATGTTGCTGTTCTTATGATATGGCTGTATTTCTTTCAAATTGATGAAAACCTTCCAGTTTCAGGTAGAGGGGTGGTTGTGCAGCCGGAAGTCAAGGACCTTGCAGAGAGGTAAAACTTTTTTATGTGTCAGACGATGCCTGTGAATATTGGTTTTTTCTGTGTGTGTGTGTGTTTGTGTGTGTGTTTGTGTGTGTGTGTGTGTGTGTGTGTGTGTGTGTGTGTGTGTGTGTGTGTGTTCAGGCTTGTGCTTGTGCTTAACACCTTAACTGCATCATAGAAATGATAAATGTTAGGCATGCTGACATAATGAGTTACTTCTCTGATTTTAGCCCTATATAAATAGATGCATCAAATTTATAGGTAGAGTTTTTACGATTCATAAGTATGAAATGATAGAAGACACGTTAAACTTGAAGAGAATGGCATTGGTTTAGAATCAACAAATATGACCCTTGTGTTGATTTTTGGCAGATATCTCCATTCTTTGATTGCGAGAAGTAACTCATTTTGTCAGCACGCCTCACAAATTATAAATGAGTGGCTTGATTTTCTTTTTGTATTCTGTTGACATTTCACTGACTAGCAAATATATATCACTGCCGAATGATATATTTCAGTGTTTGTCTACGTTTTTATAGCCAGCGCCCACTTTTGCCATTTTTAAGAGGCTAGAATTTTCATACTGCCCACCTACATGTATTTCCAAAGGGGGCTTTAAATAATAATCTACGTGTCACAACCGGAGTGATCCCCTCTGCCAACCAAAATGATAAAATCATCCAATGATGGGGGATATTATGATATCGCCCATGTTGGCAACTCTGTTTTATTTGAATGCTATGTGGTTGTGAATATTGTCTCATTTTTTTCGCCCATGCATCTTTTTTTCTACATGACTGCCAACTTCACCATGTTTTCTCCTCTTCTCTTTTGTTCCTTTGACTCTCCCTGTGGGTGTGTGGTTGGAGAGTGCCAATGCTAGGTACCACCTTTTCTTTCCCTCCTCTGTTCCTGTCTGTCTTACTTTTAACCTGCACTAAATGACTATTATTTTGTGTGTTATTTACTCAAACTCAATGCAGACTTTCTATTCTCAGACAAAGGATGGACTCCAGTGACGATGACAGTGACTTTGAGAACTGTGAGTATCATCACCCTCACCCTTTCAGAATTGAAGAAATGGATATGATATATATGTACAAATACAGTTGAGCATGGATATTTCAAACATGTCGAGTGTTGACTGTTGTGTTCCTCGCACCTGTAATTCAAGTAAACCAAAATGGAATATGAGAGAAATTATGTAGTAAATGCATTAAGGGAAGGAGCGACCCTTGATTTTGCAGATTTTGGGTCAGGCTATGCAAATTTTATGTTGGCTGATTTTTGGAGATCAACCTGTTTTTTGTCTAAATATAGCATGGATAAAATTGAGAAAGTCTTTATTCTCCTGGTAAATTGCCTTTGAAAACATGAGGATGGATTAATATAGTGAATTTTCACAATTATTGTCAGTTTTCGCAAAATGTAATTTTTGTGCAGTTTTTTCCCTACTCCTTCCTTAGTTTTCATCCTTTTGACATGAAACTTTCAGGAAACATAGATGGCAAGGCTATCATCAATGTAACAGAGAGATATTTCCACAAAAAATAATACTTTTCTATTGGCAAGCTAAATTTAGAAGGGAAAAAAATTGTACTTTGGCAAAATTATCTTTTTTTTTCTTTTGCACTTATTGAAAAAAAAACTCGCTGTTACGCTGATAGGGTCTGGTTCAGGTATACTCTCACCAAATGTGGTCAAATTTGGTCAGTAAATAAAAAAGCCTTAGGGATTTGAAATTCATTGTTTATTTTCAAGATGGCGGCCGTTTCCATAGCAATCGCTGTAGCTATGCCAAAATAAAATTGCGTATCAAGAGATTTTACTATGTCTAATTTATATGTGTACCTAGATTTGATCTCGGGCAACAAACATAGAAAATGGTCCTCAAGTGTAGCTCCTCCCGTTAAGGATATAGATGTGTATTATCTATAAATTTGAAATTGCTGTTTGTTTTTTATCATAACATTGATGGATAAGTTATTTTTTATTGCTGCTTTCTAGTATTGTTCCAAAAACAATTAATTACTGTAATGAATATATATATAATCAAATTTGAATGATGCTACATTTAATTTCTTCTCCAACAGTCCTTGAGAAGATGAAAACTCAGTGCGACATAAAGAAACAGAAGCAGGAGGATTTGTAAGTGCATGTTCCAAATGTTCTGATTTATTTTCTGTGGTAATTGTGTTGTGTACAGTGTACACTTGATACATGATTTATAATCGATGAGTGTAGTATGCTTCCTTCTGGGTCTTCTTGCTGTGGTCTTTCTACTCTTTGATTTTTGTTTTCTCCTCTGATTCTGTTGATTTAACACATGTGTGTTTATTGAAAACTACCAGGGAGAAAAGAGTGCTGTAGTTGCAATTTTTTCCTTTTCATCCTTATCTGTCTTGATCAGTTGTGTGGTTTGTTCCATCTCATTCATCAAAATTTTTATCAAAGTTTTTTAGGCATACTCTGGACACATTTAAAACACACATACAAACTATGTAGGTAATGGAAATTTCACTGTTGCAATTTTCAGACGATCCTTGGATGATTTTGTTGTGAGTGATGCTGAGACAGAAGGCAGTGATGATGTGGACTCTGGAACAGATGGTGATGATGAGGAAGATGAAATGTTACTTGCAAAGGCTGATAGAAAAACAGTAGGAAGACATCTGAGGTAAGAATAACAAGAATTTTTTTTTTCAATTAGCGCTACTAAGGCCTGTTTGTGAAAAAAAATTAAAAAATTTTCTTTTGGTATTGATGTTATACTATATATATCTGTCTGTGGCCTAATTTTTCTCCTCTTTTCTTTGTTATATTCATGGTGTACTCTTTCTGAACTTTCACTATCTCAGAAAATGCCCTGAAAAAGATTTTTTTCTCTCATTTTTTGCGTATTGATAAAAAAATTGAAAAACTTTATTATGACTGGATTGAACGATATTTATTTTGAATCCCATGTGCTAGGACTTCACAGAAAAAGGAAGATGGAAATTGACTTAATGTGGAGTGCAGTTGAAATTGTCCAAGATGGGCACCCACTGTTTTGGAGAAAAGTTGTTGTCTTAGACAGGTGGTTGTCTTGGACCTTGTCATTATAATACAGGATATGGGAAGTGGTTGTTTGTACAGGTGATTGTCGTGGACAGGTGGCCATCAAAGCAGGTTCAACTCTAAATATGAAAAATCCTATTTTTTCATTGTTCAGAGAAGGGATAAAACTTTCAGTATAAAAATAAACTAGTTGTTTTGTTCACTTTTATAAAATTCTTTGGTATCTGCTGTATTGTTGACTTGGTCGCTGTTATTGAGAATAGTAATCTCTGGTATTTTCCCTATCGTATTTGTTAGTAATATTGTAGTGATAATGCTGCTTCTTCTTTCCTATCAAACATCTATCGTCATTATATCCCCTTCTTCTTTTTTATGTTTGTCACTCTCTTGTAACACCTCTAATCTTCTGGCGCTCATATGACCTTATGAAGTTGCGAGCACCGTAATACCTCTACTAAAACTAAAACTGATGTTGATTTGTTCGAGCCTCAGCTCAGTCCGACGTTGTGTCCTTGGGAAAGGCACTTTTCACAAATTTCCCACTTGGCTTGGTCCTTTCAGGAATGGACATTAAACACGGAGGTCCTGCCTCTTAAGTAACCTAATAGTGTTGATAGTGTTAACCTATACCGTTTAAAAAAAATGTTGATTTGAAGTATTTCACCTTCAAGAAGAATTCATATTTTTTGTCAGAGTTCTATAAATGGAAAGATTCAGTTTTCAAAGAGGCATGTATGGGTTGTTTTTTGTAAGCTCATCATCATTTGACTTTCTTCTCAGAGGAGAACAGGAGGTTGGCAGGTTCTACTCGTGGGTCCTACTTCTTTAAATTCCTTTTTTTTTGTTTCTGTTGATCGGTCTTTATAACTGCCAACCAGTACGTAAAAAACTTATTTTTTAATACTTTTTGGGGGTCAGAGTATGGAAGTCCATTTTTGTGTCCAAAAACATCCATTCTTTGTTTTCTAGTTTTGCTCCTCATGGACTTGCTGATGTTAAACAAAAATTATGAACTTTCAAGACCAGATTTGTGAATATTTTATGATGGAAATGAAACCCATAAGTCTTTTGTAGCTGTGGCCTCTTACCATAGTCAGCTGTTGATGTATGTATAGTATAGGGTTTTACGGCGCTCGCAACTGCTAAGGTCATATGAGCGCGCGAAACACAAGTTTGTTTACTTTCGCAAAAGTTCGCTGCACGATTGGTTAACTAATTGATTCTAAAATGCTAAAATGTTAAAATATTAAAATTCAGTGTAAATATATTTGTGATTTAAAACAACTCTTATAAGTAACAATAACAAATTTTAATAGTACGTTTTCATTTTACAATTTGCCATTAAGGCCAATGGCCTTCATAAAATTCAAGATTTTGCTGGGACCAACGACGGAAAAAATATCTTGCAATTTCTTGCATTTATAATATTTCCTTCGGATCTCTCCAAAGTCCAGACATTCTGTTAAGATGTGTCTAATGGTAAAATCTGTGTCGCATCCGACACAGAACGGCTTCTCATCTGCCTGTAGGAGGTATTTGTGGGTCAGGGCCGTGTGTCCGATGCGCAATCGAGTAAAAATGACTTCGTCTCTTCTGGAGAGGTCCGAAGGATTTCGCTGTTCTAGTTTGGGTTTTATTTCATATAGTTTATTATTTTTCTGCTTTTCCCAGTGGCTCTCCCACAGACTGGAGGTGTACTTTTTGACTTTATTTCTAAAGTCAGTCTGTGGGAGAGTGTTTGTCGTTGATCCCAGCAAAAGGGATGAAGCTTTCTTTGCCAGGTCGTCTACCTGCTCGTTCCCTCGGATGCCCACATGGCTGGGTATCCATGCAAACATGATGTTTTTTCCTGTTTCGGATAGTGTATGAATTTTCTGTTGTAGCCTAACTATTTTTGGATGTAAGAGTGTGTAGTTTGTGAGTGAGGTGATGCAAGACAAAGAGTCAGAAAGGATAAGGAAAGATTTGTTAGGAGAATTTTCTACAGAGTCCAGTGCCATGTCAATGGCAGTGGCCTCCGCAGTGAAAATGGAGGCTTCAGGATGGAGTCTCCTCTGGTGTGTATTGTTGGGAGATAGGGCTGCGGCGCCCACTTCATTGTCTTTTTTGGAGCCGTCCGTGAAGATGAGCTCCGCACCGGGGTATTTATCTATTAGTTTTTTGTAATCTGCTTTAAAAGTTTTGGTGTTTGTGCTTTCTTTGTTGTGCGTGGTCAGCTGTAAGTCTACTTTTGCCTTGGTGAGGTGCCACGGAGGGAGGTCGGGGAAAAGAATTTGTTGGATGTCTTGTTTGGAAAAGTGTAAGTTTTTGAGGTCCTCAAGGATTCTGAGGCCGAAGGGTTTGATGAGTTTTTCGTTGTTTTGGAATTTGTTTATGGTTTCTGGGTTTGTTTTAAAAATGCTGTTGTGCGCTGTATTTTCCGGTGTTGAGCTCTGTTTAACTGTGTATTGTAGTGAGAGTTGTGTGCGTCTGAGTGAGAGTGGTGGTATGTTGGCCTCGGCCTGGAGGCTCTCCACCGGAGAAGTGCGGAAAGCCCCCAGAGCGAGGCGGAGTCCTTGGTTCTGTATTGGGTCTAGCATTTTTAAGATGTGTGGTTTTGCCGATCCGTAGACTTGACAACTGTAGTCAAGCCTGGACCGGACAAGGGAGATGTACAAGTGGAGAAGGTGTTTTGAGTCCCCGCCCCACTCCGGTTGCGATAGAATTTTCAAAGCGTTTAGCGCTTTCTGGCACCTCACAAGAAGGTCTTTGATGTGTGGTATGAATGTGAGTTTTTTGTCGAAAATGACGCCGAGGAAACAAGCTTGGTCCTGGACGGGAATCCTTTCCCCGTATAGTGTCAAATCTGGCTGCAGCACATGTCTGCCTGTTCGGCAGAAGTGTACTGCAACCGTCTTTGACGGGGAGAGCTTGAAACTGTTATTGTTTGCTCATGTTTCGAGTTTGTGCAGCTGCTTGCAGCTGCCTTTCCATAGATCTCAAATGAGGATTTTTCGAACGGCAGCATATCAAAAAGTCGTCAACGTATAACGAGCTGTCTATGCTGTTTGGAGGGTTTTCACTATGGAATTTATTTTAATTTCGAATAGGAGAGGAGAAAGGATGCTCCCCTGGGGGACTCCTTCCTCCTGTTGGTGGGGGGTCAGAAAGGGAGGATCCGACACGAACCTGGAAGGAACGGTTCTTCAGGAAGTTGCCAATGAAGGCAGGGAGGTGACCGCGTATGCCGAGTGTGTGCAGGTCTCGAAGAATGCCGTACTTCCAGGTTGTGACGAAGGCTTTTTCTAGGTAAAAAAAGATGGCGATCATGTGGCCTCTTTCAGCGAACGTCTCGCGTATAAAGGTCTCCAGGTGGACCAGGTGATCCAGAGTGGATCGAGTTTTCCTGAATCCGCACTGGAGACCGCTCAGCGAGCCCGTCGTTTCCAGAAACCACATGAGTTGCCTGTGGATCATTTTTTCAATTAGTTTGCAGAGACAGCTCGTTAGTGCTATTGGTCTGTAATTGGATGCGTGTGTGTGGTCCTTGTTTGGTTTGGGTATTGGAATGCCAGTGGCGAGACGCCAAGACTCCGGAAAGGAGTGCGACCGCCACATGTCGTTGTATATGTATAGTAGGAGTGTGAGTGTTTCTGAGGGTAAGTGTCTAATGATTTGGTTGAGGATGTCATCCGGTCCCGGGATTGTATCGCCCAGGTCCGAGATGCACGATGTTAGTTCGTCTATTGTGAAGTCTGCGTTGTAGGTTTCAGTGTTGTTTGAGTGGAAGTTTAGGTGTTGTTTTTCTCTGTTAGTTTTGATGTTTTGAAAAGTGGTGTTGTAGTTTGCTTGGGATGAGTTTTTGGCGAGAGATGTAGCTATTGTGTTTGCGATGTCTACTTGTGTTTCAGCTGTGGTTCCATCCGGCCTCTGGACGTGCCGAATGGTGTCTGTGCGTCTACCTAAGAATTTTTTAGTAATTTTGAAAACTTGGTTGAGTGGTGTCTGGCTGTTGATTTTGGAGATGTATTTTTGGAATGATTGTCTTTTGCTCTCCCTGAGGCATCTACGTGCCACAGGTCGAGCCTTTAAATAATTGATCTTGTTTCTATGGTGGTGTTGTTGACGGCTTTTCGATACGCTGCCTTCTTTTTCTTTACTGTGGCCTCACACTCCCAAGAGAACCAGATCTTGTTCCTCCGGGGTTTTGTTTTTGTTTTTGGTATGTGTTTGTGGCATATTTCTAAAAGCTTTTCGTGGAATTTATTGTAGTTGTGGTCGAAATTGGGATTAAGAATCTGGGAACATTGATTGGCAAACCCGTCCCAGTCTGCTTTTTTGAAGCTGTTGAGCATGGATTTGTTGAATGCAAAAAAGATGTGTGTAGAGGCTTTGGAAGAGGTTACTTGGCCTATGCTGTTTATTTTGACCTGCTGTGTGGGTAGAGTCCCGTGTATTTTGTTTTTAAAAGTTATCAGTTATGAGTTGTTTTTTTCCTTGCACTTAATGACCGTTGCTGTCAATGTGTTGATGTATTACTTTTTATTAAAACTGCAAAAACCCAAACCCTCAGAGGTGGAAAGTCCCTTGTGTTGAAGTCTGTGGACTTGGATGAGGAAAGCAATGAAGCAAGCGCCCGGCAGGACGGAAAGCAGAAGATCTCTACAGAATACAAGATAAAATCACAGAGAGACAAAGGATTAAATGGTGTAGAGAGGAGTGATGCAAGCTACGACTCTGTTGCAAAAACACCAAGGAGACTTCTGTCTTCCACCTCAAGCATGGGAAGTGTGGTTGATGACAGGTTGTTGTCTGATGACGACGATGACTTCAAGCCACAGAAAACAAATTTCAGAACTCCGGTTCATGCACCACCGCAAGCAACTAAACCGTTTCATGGACATTTCAAGACTCCTGCCAAGCCTCGCCTTAAGACAGGTTTGTGGTGATTCTTTCTGTTCACAGTGGTATCCCTCTTTTTTTGTGAGACCTTTTTCTTTTTTTTTTGTCCCTTGCCTTCTCTATCAAATTGACGCCATCTTATTAATGTAAAAAGGTGCACATGTAAGTGTTAATTATTAGGTACATAATTATTGTAACATGTAAGCTTAATTTATGATGACTTGTTAATCTTGTAATCACTTTTCTTCGAGACCTTTTATGGCTGCACACCAACACTTTCTTGGAAACAGCCTTAACTTTGGCTATTCCTGTGTAAAGAGAGCATCTGAGGCTTTACATAAATTTCCTTCCCTCCTATGGTATTTTCTCTTGTACATTTTATTTTTTCTACATACTACATGTTCTTTGTTCTTTTCAAATCTTGATCTGATTGAATAGGATTTGGGGAGGGGGGGGGGGTGTCTCATGGTTTAGAGGTTACAGTGTTCACTTTTCATTTAATAGGTCCCGGGTTCGAAACCTGACAGCTTAAAATTTTCTTCTCTCAAATTTTCTCCTTTCACTTCCTTTCCTGCTCTCCAACCCTGCTCTCTCCTCTGATTTCATCTCCACTTTCTACCACCTCCCCCATCCCCTCCCTCTTTTCACCCTCCTCTTGGCTCCTAACTTTCCACAGCCTGTCAACTGCTACCTCTTGGCTCCTTCATACTGCTGTCTTTCAGCGACATTTCTGATCTTAGGGTAGGCAAGATCTAATACCCAGCCTTCTCAGATGAGGATGAAACATTTTGGAGGTCCTATGTGCAAGTTGGTGGTCCAAAATTGATAAGAGTAGGCTTTGGCTGCCACACTGCCAAAATTCAGAATTAATGCCCACCAAAACTGAAAATGTTTAATGTGTCCCGTGCACCCATACTCATAAATAATATGACCTTATGCTGTTGCAAGCGCCGTAAAACACACACCAGAACAAAACAAAGAATAGGAATGTGTCAAATATTTAATATTTATTGCATTACGAGGCCCTGAACAAAGATATTCTAATCGTCATGTCAGCCAGTGTGCCTACACACTATGGCACACAATGGGAGGTGACCATTTACGCCAGCAAATCTTGTGTGCTGTATAAGGGAGGTCAACAGGAGGGAGTTGTATTCTCATGGTGTGTTACTGAGCCAGTTTGTTCGCTGTGAGAAAAAAGAAGTTTGAGGGGCACCAATGGTAGAACCTTTTTTTCTGTCCCTTTGTTGTTTCTGTTTGTCTTTCTTGCCTTTTTCCAGCGCTAATTGGCTGCTATTGTATCGATGTGTTTCTCTTTACTCCAACAGAACTGTCAGTAAACGGGGAGAAGCGGTGAGAAAGGTCTCAATGTTTTTCTCCCTTGTTATGGGTACAAAGCAATGAATGCCCATTGGATACGTTGTTCTCTGTGCTATTTATCAGCGAATTTCAGCTTTCTCTAGTCTTTCTTTGCTGTAAAAACTGTGTTTTCTGGCATTTGCTTCTTTTTTGGGGGATCTGTTGCCAGTTCTGTGTTGTTTGTCAAATTGAGGTTGTTGTCTATTTAATTGGATTGGCCTGAAAGTTTATTATGCAAAAACTAGGATTGGTGGAGGAGGGGCCACTGGTGAGTTGTACTTCTTTTCTTTATCTGTTTTGTGCCTGTCTGTCTGTTTGTCTTAATTTTTTTCTAGCTCTAAATGACTTTTATTGTGTGATTTCTTTTCTCAAACAAGAATAAATAGAATCATAAAAGGAGAACATGTACATGTAGCCTAATATACACATGTGCTATCACTGTTACTTTTAAAATACTTTCCAGCTCTCCCTGAGCATCCTATGACGGCCCCACGACTGTCAGTGAAGTCAGCTCTTGGTGTGAGTGACGACTCTTCCTTTCTGGAATCTCTGTCTTCTGATTTACCTGACTACAAGAGACACCCAGAAGCTTTGAGGTTCGATTCTAGTTCTTTCTGCAGTTCTGATTTTTAAAAAATGAAATTTTTTACTTGATTGATTGTTAATAGATCTTATACACCTTACATAAACATAATTTGATCCTTTAGAAGGAGGGCTTCTTTGTATTGCACTAGTAGATTTCAACTTTTCAGAGTTGTTCACTTTGCCACACCTTTTGTTTTTTCATCTTTTGTCAAATTTTTTAGAAAGAGACCTACATTTAGGATAACAAGCACGGATTTAGACAGGCAGATAAAATTGTAAACAATCTGTTTAATGACAAAAGATGGGTCATTTTGAGTAGAATGTAGGCTGTAACACAGCATAATTTATATATGGAGAGATTGTATTTTTTTGTGTTATTAAAACTGTCCAGCTGGCAACTGTCACAAGCGTATTTTGTATGAGACAGGAACATGGTATTGAGCATTCTGTAAAGTCTTTCTCTTTTCCTTTTCCAGGTTTTTGAGGCACTTCAAAAGCATGACAGTGAAGGCTGAACTGACGACCAAACTCTTTACTATTTTCAACAGTAAAGTTTTTGAGAAAAAGGTTTAGTAAAGGAATTTTTTAGCATCTTTTTATATTTCTCTCTCCTTAAATAATTTTTTTTTTTCTGTACCTCTTCAATTTATGAGTGTTATATTTAAAGAAGTCAATGTGCCTTTCTGTATACCATGAGAGCTTTTTTATATTCTTTTTTTGGGGGGTAAGTGTTTTAAGGCGCTCGCAACCGCATAAGGCCATAGGAGCGTGGAGATTTTTGTGGAATGCGGAGGGTACCACTGGAAGGTCCTATTCTTTACTATCCCTATGCTGTATCTGTCAATCTTTCTTGCTTTTTTTAGCACTTAATAATTGTTAGTGTGTTGACGTGCTTCTCTTTACTCTGACACCCCCCCCCCTCCCCTAAATTTAATTGTCAGGTATGTGCCTTTGTGATTATCGCTCTGGAAAATAGTTTACGATAGCGGGTTATCTCCAATAATGGAACATCCATAGCTGGATCTTCTTTACTGTAGTAAATTATTTGGTCACAAAACGTGCTGTGATCAGTCACTTTGTTTTCGCTCAATTCAGTTTTTTCTGTAACAACATGGAGATTATGCCTCAGATAGTCATCTTTTTCTACATTTTTTCACTTTTTGATTATTGTGTGTTTTGTCCCATGGCAGTTTACTTGTTTTTATATGATACAGTCATCCCAAAATAGTAACAATATTTTGATTTTCCTCCTCGTCTTGTCACAGCTCCCAGCTGACTTGCCCATTGAGTGGAACAGTCGGTACCTGAAGACGGCCGGTACCTTCTCTGTGAGAGGGACAAAAGACAACTTGGTTGGAAAAATTTCCCTGTCTGCCAAAGTCTGTGATACCCCAGGTAAATGGTTTTCGTTGGCTCTTCAGTAATTTTTACCTACTGTAAATTATTTTGGGGGGTTTATTGTCCATAAATTTTTTAAGTGTCTGAAGGGAACGGACGGGTGGGACTTAAACTGAAAATTGGGTCAAAATATCGTTTTTGAGGTTTTTTCACAAGTGAATAGCTGAATGTGTTTAGCTATCAAGTCCGGTATATTATTTTGCTGAGATAAGCATATTGTATGTGAAATTTTGTTTCATATGGCTACTAATAGTATAACAGTAAGTCATTTTTTACTTCAATGGCCATTTTCTCAGAATTGTGTTTTTCATGGACAATATGCCACGAAAATCCTGAAATCTGTCTTATTTCCTTAGAGACTTGAAGTTAGGCAGGGTGATAGCTTATCCATGTTTCTAGATAATGAGCTAGTTATTTTTGTCTTTCTTTGTGACTGACTGGGGGCATGTCCATCTATATCAGGTTAGGGGTTGTATTGTAACACTTTTTTACATAATGAAATTCCAAGTCATGCTCCTTTAATGAAAACAACCAAATAAAAAAAGTAGTCACCCTATTACCTCAATATAGGTCCTGCCTTTCCATTCATATCTTACAAAGTAGAATATCTTGATTAGTGTTTGAGATTTTAGGAATTAAAGATCTGTGTTATTTTCAAGATGGCCGCCGTCACCATGGCAATGAGTGGCATTGAGTCATACTATGCTAAACTCATTTATATAGGTCAGTGAATACATTTTTTTTCTTGCTCACCAGACCTCCCCCTTAATTTTTTTTTTTACTATTACTGGACGAAAATTTTGTTTTGTCACAAAGATTCCGAATCCTTTCTTCCAGACAGCAGACAATAAATTACCATACATCATTCCTATTGACGTTCAAATTCATAATTGATGGCTGAATTAATTCTTTTAAAGGCTTGCAAATGTACAAAAAAAGTAGTGTTGTGTGACTAGATGTTATAGAGTACAAAATATGTTTGACTTCTCCCCAGGTAGTACAGTAGTCTCAGCCTAAACGCACACCATACAAAAGCACGCTCTGCTCAAATGCACGCTTTCATCATCTGACGCGTTTTTTATTGCTACATAATTTAGACGCTCAAATGATATTTGGTGAGACTGCCCCTCACGCCGAACAAAGAGAGTGGTGGACAGCATTTTCACACCCAACTTTCCACAGACACATAGGTCTAGGACTGGTCTGTGAAATGTTGGGTGGTTGGGGGACTGAAATGTTATTTGATTGGTCACTTGAAATGTGTCTTTGAGAGAAGGTTTCTGACTGGTCTGTGAGTGACTGCATGTAATGTTTAGTTAGACCTAGGCCTATGATGCACAACACGTGTGAATGCTTGTCCATGAATTCACGGTCGGGGGTGGTTGCTTGGAAAGCCACAAGGCTTGGCCATCGTCTCTATGATTATCACCAACAGTTTCCTCTTACGCTATCTGTTCCCGACATTTTATGGTGCATATCATTACTTGAGTCTGTATTTTTACTCCCCC